CAGCTCACTGTCGTGTTCACGGAGGAGAATCCTACTTACCCCTGTTGCTTGCCAGGTAACAGAGACAATGTCAGAAGTTTTTCCACGACGTTAAAAAACTTAAATTCACGTCAACTGAAGCTAGGAACTTAAAGACAACTCGATTTATATATATTTTTTTCTCTTATTCGAAATGGACAGTCGAAATTAAAATATGTATATACATATTATTTTATTATTATTTTTTTATATCAATAAATAAAACTCCACGTATCTTCCGTCAGACATGTACTGACCGAATTTTATAGACAAAGAAAGAGATCAGACAGAAAGCGCTCGGTCTCGAGAGACACCTGAAAAACGCGAAGCGTATTAAACTGCCCATCGCGAGGCTCATGCACTATAAAGTTGAATCTAAAGCATACATGCAGTATGGTATGAGTATGAAACTTCTTTTGATAGGGAAATGCGCTTGGTCTCTTAAAGAGCTCGCAGTTTGCACAATAGAGATCGAGAAAGTAGTTTCGATAATCGCCAACCCGTGTTGCCATCATACTCCACAGGCGTACCGCAGATAAGTTTTCACAGGGTATAATGAAGTAGCTATTTTCCCACGACTTTGCCGCAAAATTATAGCCTATGACATGCGCGTCTGATCTAGCTTCCCGTAGGTCGGAATCGCTCTGCAACTATCGGTCCAGTAGTATTGGAGCAAATACGATGCAAACAAACAAACAACCAAATCTTTCCTCTTTATAATATTAGTATAGCTTGGGTATAAGGGTCCGATGGCGTAGTGGGTTAGTGCATTCGGTTTAAATTGCAGTTAAATAAGTAAGTAAATACTGCACAACAAGGACATACATGAATACTTATTTTACATAAATAAGTACAAACGACAACCTCATCGCTAACCAGCGATTTCTTCCAGGCAAACGAGCATTACATGAAAAATAGAACAATAAATAGCCAATTGTGCATACAACTAGATAAATAATAATAATTTAAAAAGATCAAAACAAAAAAAGGATCGTTTAAAGGTACGAATAAAATGCTCAGACACAAGCGACAACAAGAGCGCGAGAAACGACAAAAAAATAGAAAAAAAACATTCGTAAGGACCGTTTACAGGATGGGTGACCAAAACATTATTATCTTGAGCACTGTGCACAACACTGTCATAATGTACGTTAAGCTGTTAGTCCTGGCTGCATCAGCAACGTTAACACCCACCGATCCACATTAAGCCCGCGTAGTGGGTTGTGGCCCATTGATCTTATTCGATTCATCTGCATTCATAGGAAAAAAGAATTCTACCAAAATACTTCCCACGCAGACGTAGTCGCGGGCACAGCTAGTATATATATAAAAACTTGGTATAAACCTAGTCTTGAAAACTTAAGAATTGTTAAAAATTCGTTGGATATTAATAAGTTTGGCCGTTTAACAGATTGCTATTGAATTTTATTTAAAGCAATACATAAAGGTGGTTGTATTGTAACGCTAAAGTAGTTACAATACAACCACCTTTATGGTGGAACCTGGAAGCGTTACAATTCAACCTTAATGTTATCTCGGAAACACTCGAACTCTCGGAAACAGGATTTTTAAACACACAAATGTGTTCAAATGTCCTTGTTTTAGATGGGTCGTTACTTTAAGCAGAAAGATAAAATGACACTAGTAAAATAGCCAGCATGTTCTAACTCTTCCGTGATATTGTAATGAAATAAAACGTACGCCGGTTTCAAGGTGTCGCCATCTCTGAGGTCCTGGGTTCGATTCCCGGTCGGGTCAATGTATAAAATGAACTTTTCTATATTGACTCGGGTCTGGGTGTTGTGGTACCTTCGTTGTCTCAGATACTCCATAATACGGGGGCTATAGCTACTCATCTTGGAATCTGAGCAATGTATGTGATGTTGTTAAATATTTATTTTATTTATATTTATTAATTACACCTTATGACCTCTAGGTCACTGAGGATCTCAGCCACTATTTCAATGCCTGCGATTCTGTGAAAATCCTGAACAGAATTCGAATGCACTCATGTGTCCGAATTGATGTCAATAAGTGTAGAAATTCTATTATGAATGAAATGAAAATATCTTTATTCAAGTAGGATTACAAGCACTTTTGAATCGTCCATAAAAAAAGATTTCCCCTACCACTTGTTAAGGAAGTCTTTTAGCTGACAAGAAGAAGAAACGAAAGAAACTTACCAACTCTTTATCATATGTAATGACATTTACATAAATCATGTCATTACCAAAATAATATGTATTATCAAAATAATAAATACAACTTTCAAAGTCTGTAGGACATAGGTTGAACATATAATTAGTCTTTACAGAACAAAGCGAAGGCTTTTAATTTCATGCATTGCGATCCTTAAAATAATCATCAACTTTATAATAGCCTTTACTCATAAGTATGTTCTTTACATGAATTTTAAATTAATTTATATTCTATCCCTATGTTATTTTGGAACTCACTTCACGCCACGAAACATTAAGGGGATCGGACAACATTCTAAAAAGTATTTTAAATCAATCATTATGGGCGCTTATTCCCTTATAAAAATAATAAACATTTGCAGTCGTTAATAGCTTCCAATCCGCATTGGGCCAGCGTGGAGGGTCATGGCCCATCCTCCTTAACCATCCATAAGGAAGGCCTGAGCCCCTGCAATGAGGCATAAAAAGGACTGATGATGATGATGTACTAAAAACTAAGTTTAAAATTTAACTGTTTGAAAAACCGCGTAAATGGCGACTCGGAGGACGTGACGTCGTTTGTGGGGTAAACAAAAGGGATTTTCAGTGGAAAAAAATAAACATCGTCTGCAGTATTTTTATGTAAACTCACAAATATATAAAACAATGTACTGACCCTTGTTACCAGTAAAAAAAAAAATTAACATTATTTTGCACTTTGTTTCCCGTGCTTTTCCTAGATACATTTACCACAAATGATGTCACGCGCTCTAATTGGTGTTTAATTTGACGTGAGATATAACAAATGTTGAAAAATTATGTTTTGTTTTATTGATTCAAAAACCTAAATAATGAGGAAGTATTTAAAAAATCACATTAGTTCCCGGAATCAAACAAGATGTCGCCACGGTACGTTCTTGATTTCTCCATGACAACCTTTCCGGTTTTCTTTCATGTTTAAAAGTAAATTAGTTTTAAAAACTCAATAAACAACTCATATTCTATTCGTACTTTTTCGTATTTTTATTGATATCTAAGTTACGAACTTTTCAAATTTCACTTTTTTAATATGTTAGTTAAAAGGAACGGAAATGATTGTTTTTTGGTCCACTTCTTTCCTGCAAAAATCAACTTTTGCTAGAGTCGCTATCTAGTGGAGCTGCTTTTTTAGTACTTTCGTTTTTTTTAAATACTTTCTCATTGTTATTTAGCAAAAACATTCTGCGAATAATCTTTAAAAACATTTTGACCACACACAATTTAATTTTTTACTTCATCGATGTCCGATCGCCTTTTCAAGGTTGATCGGATGCCGCTTTTTGAAGTAAATTTGGACAACTGAGTGACTTCGAATTCAGGATTTTTTTACAGAATCGCAGGCTATTCGGTAATAAAATCAGACTCGATGTCGAGCACAATGCTGTCGCATCATAGAAATACAACGAAATAAATTATTGATTACCTTTTGTAGACAACTTTATTTAGTAGCAAAGAAGCGCCATAGTCTCGCCCTCATTAATCCGTTATATTAAAAAAAATCTTGAATTTTTTAAAGTAATTATTGGTTTTATTTTTTAATATTATGTGCCTTTGTAGTCATTAAGATTATTTTTGCGACTTATAAGTTTTTAGTTTTATTATTAATAGATTTTATAAAATTACCTACAGAAAACAGATGATATTTAGTTTATTTATTACCTACACATTACAATCAAAAGCTTATTACCCTGTGACATGGTGTGAAATCGCTTAACGCACCGCCAATTGACATTATGATAATTTATTACTAATAATTTGGACTTTATGAAGAATTAGGTGCTTAACGTTACCTTCATAAATAATAATGATTTTTATTTATTACACCTGTTTCTAATAGTAATTTATATCTGAGAGCATGTGGAGCCGTGGGCAAATATCTCTCATTAACCGTAATTTCAATTATAAGAGGCGATGCTCTTATATTAGTATATTGAAATATGTTTACGGGAGTATTCATGTATTTTGAAAATTAGAAGTAGTTTTTTATAAAGAAAATTTTAACGTCGTAAAAATTTTTGAATAGATAAAAATGTAACAAATTACATTTCTATTTGGAAAAATATTAGCAGATTATTAATTACTGGGGTACGTACTCTATGTGATACACGTTTTTATGACGATACAATACAATTAAAAGAAACAAATGGTTGTGTACATATTGTTTTGTGTTTATCTACAATGTAATAAAATGTGTTTATCTACAATGAGATTGTATAATTTCATCAATTAAATGTTAGCGACAAGGATCTTTGTTTTTTTATAAACTAATCAAGGTATTACTTGTTTATTAAAGAATATTTCGTGGGAGTTTCTAAGAGAAGCAGAGAGAGGTATCTCGATGTTTCTTAGACGGTGAATTAATTGGAACACCGTTAAAGTTTTTGTTTCTTTTTATATGAAAATTATGTTGATTATCGTAGCTAACAAACTGGAACATCGTTGGTTGCAGGAACACTAGATTTTTAGAAATTAAGACAAAAAAGTATGCAGTTACAACGATAATAAGACTAAGAGCCATGTGATTCAAAAGAAAGTCAAAGATGAAATGATTATGAGTTCAATCGTTTACTAGAGGTAGAACTGCTCGTAACCAAGTGTTATCATGTTGTCAATAAAATCGATGGTGATAAGCTCGTAAGTAGTTATTATCAGTGGGCGAGCGTTGATGTCGAATGCGTGCAGAATCGCGGCGCGTAGCTCGTAACGTTATCGGAAAACGCGGGAAAACCTTCCGTGCAGTCAGTCGGCTCGCGCCCGTCGAGAGAGATGGTCGGTTCCGCGCGCTCGTTTGTCGCAGCACTCGTGGCGATAGCGCTCGCGACCGCGCGCGCCCATATACCATCCCACGATAACATACTCAGAATACAATTGTGGGACGCGGAGGGTCTGAGCCGAGATCCTATCACGACCTACGCTCCTACCGTTCCTCCGAAACGAAAGTTAGAAGTGAACTTGGAGTCTCTGAACGAAGCTATGCTAGAAGAATGGTATGGAAGCGGAAGATTTACCAAGCACAGGGTGCGACATAAGCGACGCCGGCCGCGACACAGCGGCGACTTTCCTTGGAAGTTCCACTCTGGTAGAGATCCCATCAACGTGCTTGTGTATGACCCAGAAGTGCCGTGGGATGTTATTGAAACGGAACTTAAGGTGAACGATAGTGGTGTGAGTGTGAGTGCTGGTTCGCAGCGGGAGGTGTCACCGCCGATGACGCTGCGCCTTCCCGAGGAGGTAATGAGTGGCAAACAAGCCTGTTTGTCTACGGAAGGGTTCTTTTCAGTGTTATCGTCGCCCGAGGTGGTTAATAGCCATTCACCGAACTGATAGCCTGCCGGCGTTGCCGGAGGGATTTCTATTCACAGCACCTTTTCAGAATGCCCCCTCGAGCGGCGATGCGTTGATAAAAGTGAATGCCCTTCATTGTTTTTTAAAAATATTTTCACGCGGCTGCATGTAGATGTTATCGTTGACGCGGGTGGTAGGGTGATACTTATAAGGAAGCTCGCAGGATGTTATCTCGAGATATTACACATGATTACCTCTCGGTGTAGACACACCGTCAATATGTATATTTTGAATATCATTAAAGTAAACATATATATTGAAACTTGTGAATGTAATTATATATTGAAACTTTTTAGTTAAAATTCAGCTAATGTTAGCGTAATTATGGAATGTCAGTAGCGCTTCAACTACAACCTTTTATGACACAGTTCATGTTTTTAGATCACAAAATAACAAATATTCTGTCACCATTGATTTGTGAAGAAGACATTACACTAATAATATTGGACTTCAGGTCACACTAATTATATTGGTCTTCATATGTATTAAAATTGCAAATTGCAAGTAGTCCAGATTCAATTGAGATGTGATTACTACTTAAAAAATAACAGGATTAAGGCCCTGGTCACCTATATTGGCTTTTTAATAAATTACAATGGAATATTTATTTATTTTATATATTTTTGACAAAAATATCTTTCTTTACTAACAAATGCGTTATCATTGGTATTATGTTGAACATCAGTCACTTCTTGAGGAGAGTAAAAGAATTCATCTTTGTTTGAAATAGTTTCTTTATTAAATGTTTACAAATAATAGATTAAGAAGGCTCTAACTTAAAGTGATAGGCTCATAGCATATTTGCACGGCACGTTTCCAAACCTGCGGCGATTTAAGTACTTGTCGTTTAAATTTGAGCATTAAATCCCTTTGACAATTTTATATCATTTATAATCTTTTCCATTAAAACTTACGATTTGTTGAAGATATTATTTTAAAGTAAATTTTAAATAAAGATTGCAAAATTTATCTCTTATTATATCTTTCAAATATGACACAGGTAAGAGTTAATGGCCAAACCAAATAACAAGTTAGTTAGGTTGGAGTAGCTCAGTGGCGTAGTGGATAAGCACCGCAGCCTGCGATCTTTGTTGATAAATAAATTTTGCAAGGGTCGATCACGGGATGGGTGACCAAAAAATATTATCTCGAGCTATTCCGTGCTTCGGAAGGCACGTTAAGCCGTTGGTCCCGACTGCGTCTGCAATCGTTAATACCCTCCAATCCGCATTGGGCCCGCGTGGAGGGTTATGGCCCATTTTTCTTAAACATCCAAAAAGAAGGCCTGAGCCATGCAGTGGGGACGTAACAGGTCTGATGATAGTCGAGTTGGAGATGTTCTACTTATGTCTGCTATAGGCCATAAAAATTAAAATATTATTTTAATTCAGTATTCTAAATATCAATAATCTAAAAAAATAATTAAGCTTACTATAATACTAATTCGAGCATTTTTTCATATATCGCACTCCCGGTGCGACACTGTCACTTATGCAAAAAAATAGTTTTTCAGGAGAAGAGTTTTAAACACTGCCACCTCACAAAACAATGACTTTAGAAGATACAGATGAGATGAATCATACGGAACATAGTTCCGTAGTCATAGTCCCTACAAAAGGAGCATTATCGCATCAAGTAAAGGGGGCTTTAGGACAATTATTACATATTTAACTAATTTTTGTATTTTTTGCAAAAGTGACAGTGTCGCACCGGGGGTGCGATATAGTATACGTGTATTCTATATTCCGTTCAAAAACTACCTCGTCAATATTGGGTCAGCGACAAATGTTGAATGTTCGGCACCCGGACATTTGAATACGTTCGCACATGACCGGCTTCGCGTCGGCCTTTCACCTGAAAGTTAACCTTTTTGCGTAACTAAATAAAAATCGCTACCCGAAAAAAAGTTCGAAAAAAGTTGACAGGCATTGCGGTGTTACGAAATCGAAATTTAAAAATAAATTATAAAAATTGTGAATTAAACATTATTTTATTCTAAATAGTAATATTGTTGTCACATACACGTTAATTAAAAATTATTTCCAGCACTAAAATAATAATACTAACAATGATATAATTTATTCTAAATGATAAATACAATTTTAAATCCAAAGTTTGAGACAAACGGTTTATGCCTAAGTGACAGTTGAGTGCACCTACAGTCTTTGACATAACCACATATTAAATTAATATTGTATATATTATATTTGATATTTAGGGGATTAAAATTATGACCCTTTGTCAATATCAGTTGATGAATTTCAAAAATTACTCACTTCAAAATCATTTTTATTGCTTTTACTTCGAAATTATATATTATTTCATTAAAAATCAAAATTCGCGAAAAAGAAAACACCATTGATGTATACGTTTATATTATTTTATAGACCTTATGCTAAAGCTTATTATAAACTTTTTAAAGTAGAGGTATACTGGAAAAAAAAAAAGATTTATTACAACCATTTCCTTAAGAGTTACGTCACAATTATTGTGGTTTCTGTGTAAACACGGACGTCACCACGATATCTCAAATTTCCTCAATTGATTTTCTTTAAGGTTTTAAATTAAGAGGAGAAATAAGATAGTTTCATATAGCATATCGTGCTGTTGACTGTACAAATCGTAAGTTTGGTTTTGTGACATGACAATTAAGAATTTTCATTAAGAGTTTATGAATAATGCTTAAAAAATCCACTTTGTCCCTGCTAGTCTGAGATGAGACAAGAACCCATGACCCCCCTAAGTCCGGGCGATTGCACCACCCAGGAACCAACAGGACTGACGTATCCTTCAAGCGCTTGTTACTTTTTCGCTGCTACAGAGCGTATTTTCATCAATGTTCAGGGAATCCACCTAAACAGCCGAAAGACTTTTAGCTTCACAAAGTTTTCTCTTATTGAATTACATATACAGCTTTTGCTACGAAAGATCCAGTTGCATCGGCTATGTATGAGCTAACTACATACATAATTTAATTAAATTAATTATTTATGTTAATAAAATTCATATCTAAACATAGAAAAGATTTTAAAAACAATCAACGAAATGTGAAATGTGTTACTGGCTACACTGCATCTTAATATGCCCCGACAGATGACCATATCTATAACGTAAGAAATTTATAATTATATATTTTTTATTTCGGACTAATGTATTGGGATGCTTCTTTGCCATAATTAGGAAATAAGGAATTACGGAAAATTACGAATTAATACAGAATCATGAATCTATTACTGTTTTAGCGAATTGCCCACAATGTAGCTTCCTATATATAGGTGAAGAAAGTTTTAATATTCGTTCATTAGTTTCGAAGATTATTCAACGTAAACAAACAATCAAAGTTTTCTTCATTTTTATATTAAAATAGACTATTTTTAATAGTTTAATTGAGCGAAAAATTCGGCTTGAAGTAAATTCTTTTCCTTTTTAAACGACTTAAAAATCCAAAAGGAAGAGGTTATATTCAAGGCCACAGCGATGTATGTTTTTTTATGTATGATCACCAATATTTTCGCCAATTATATAAGCGAACTTACAAGCAGATCGTGGATTTGCTAAACTTATTGAAAGATTACAAATTTCACCTTTAATTTAAGAAGACATTTTAGTGTTCCATATTGGGAATACTATCCCATATTTGGTTACTTTCCTCTAAGGATATCAACTATTATATTGTGTTATACTATTTGGCGTATCCAATCAGCCGGCTACAAATTCACTCTGTGCCCAATACATTGTTAGCATAGGTTAGGTCATCTGATTGCCTTGGTAACGCGAGCATATAGAGGGCTTACATGATTAAGAAATTGCTCAGAATATTTGCTAAAAGACGTAATACATAGATGGGTATTTATAATAAATGTAACAAGAAACTGTCGGAAGAAAACAGACTTAACTTTTGATACGAAATTCATAATATAGTCGTGTTAGTAAATTATGTGTAGCGGGTTATCTATTTTAGCAAGTAATTTCTTTTTTTTTTAATACGTTACTGAATAATTTCTATATAATTCTACTTATTCTTAAATAACATACCAAACTGACTCACATTTCTACATTTTGTTGTTTTCAAGTTTCCAGAGTTTAACAAAAATTGCGGACTGTAGCCATATAATTCTAATGGCTCATTTGCACTGGGTGATGGGGTCAGCACGCGGAGTGTCGGCGACCTCTGCACGCTCCTTTCATTACTAAAACAATTACCGGCAATTGAAAGCGAGGAACAGAAATCGGCTGTACGCCGCACGCGCATGTCATTGAACAGTGTAAATGCGCCATAACAACAATAACTACAACCACAACCATAAACCATAGTATTCTTCAAAAATGAAAGTTTGCAAAAATTACTTATTTTATTGTGAAATAGGGATGATGACTGGGTAAAAAAAATGCAATTCTATTTAGTCCGTCAGTCAGATAATAGAAAAATATTAGATACGTATTTTTTTTTACTTCAGATTAACAAGAAATAGCTTAGATAACAGGTATTAAAGTTGAGGAGTGGGGGCTCGCTACGTCACAGTTGAGTAGAAAACGTACTCTAATGTGACATCATGCGAAATTTCAACTCAATGTAACGCCGTAATTTTATGATCACGAAAAAAATAAAAAAATACGTGTTTAATATTTTTTAACACTCTACCTGACGGGTAAACAGACAAAAATTAATCATCATCCCTATTATGTACTTAGCAACATATGTATTATCGGAAGCAAAGTTATCTTTGTGAGATTATGAAAATATATATAATTTAATCTTTGAATTATATTAAGCACCAGACATGACCACGTTTTGGATATTGCAAACATGCACTGAAGATAATGTGATAATCGATTAAAGGTGTTGTTATGTGACAGCGGTATTCTGTTTTAATTTAGGGTCTAAAGCAGGAACGAGAATAGCGTTCTCAATGTGAGGTTAAATAATAACTATAACAAAAATACGTAATAATAATTTTTATTTTCTAAATTTACTTGCA